TGCACATGAACTTATCATGTAATTTGCTACAGTTGACGCGCCAAGCTTGGGTTTTGTGTATGAGCCTGCAGGTCTATGATCAGTATCGAATAAAGAAACAGATTGAAATATCCCATCAGAAGTGTCAAAAGTTCTGGAGCTCGCCCCATAGAGGGTATACACCATGAAGAAATTCAAAAATATCCAACGCATCATTGGGGAAGAATAAGACAGACGTCAAACTCACCTGAGATGAAACTCGCACGACGACGACGACGACGACCAACGAGGAACAGCAAAGTTCGGGGGGAGAAAAAATTGGGAGGGCTACGCCGAATGAGAGTGAGCCCCATTGAGTTGAAGACCCATCTGGTGGGTCAACAATCGTATAACTGTGTCTATGAGCAACAAATTGCCCGACCGTCAGCAGGCCGCCCAGGCAACAGGGCTGCTCATATCTTCGCAGCCTGCGCCTTCGCCGAGCGACCCGCCTCCAAGCGAGCACCGGAGCGGCAGAGACGGAGTGCGACGAGTGTTCCCGTGGCGCAGTGTCGTTCTCGCCGTCCTCGCCCAGACCGACGTGCTTGGGGCCGGTTGCTTTCCATGGGTGGACGAGGACATACTCCGTATCTCCGGGGACTTTCCCCACAGCAGAGGGCGAGAGCGAGGGCTCTCTGTGCGTGAGCTGCGACAACGATTCTTCAGACGGCGCAGGTTAAGAAAAGTTTCTGCCATCATTCGGTCTTTATAGCGGCAGATGCCGGGTGAATTGGAACTCCGCGCCTATTTGGCGTGCACGCGTCAACCTCCGTTACTCAACGTTAACCCAGTCTCCAGAGTCCATGTCGAATCGGACAACGCCATTGCCGTCGCAGCGCCAGCAATCTGGAAGACCGGTGAGCTCTACAGCCTGGCGGAATGCAAGTGCTTACTGTTGCCCAGGTCGTGTTTGGAAGCTTCCCCACAATCAAGGTCATTGAGCCGCCGAAAGGTACGCTCGCACTCGCCGCTCTTTATCCGTTCAATGTCGATTGTATCTCTCAGGGACATTCTCTACTCGTAACGACCAATGGTGTCTCACATACTGCTCGCAAAACGTCCGCGGGCGCATTCAGTCGCAGGCCCCATTTTGCCGATCCATGTGCATTCGCAAAGTCTTTCCCCATGAAGTGCGGAACATCATCCAGTTCAAGAGCCACCAAGACGTCGGACCCGACGGCAAGGCACGATACCCACTCCCTGTAGAAGGCCAGCCCATAAATCTGCCCCGATATCTGGGCGGCAAGCCCTCCGATGACCCCGAACACGGCAGGAAATCGCCAGACGATACCAAGTACTGGGATGAGGGGTGGTATCTATGGAAGACCAATGGTGCCTCGGGGGTATGGGCCAACATCTCGCAGATGCACAACTCGCTGGAGGGACAGGGTGTTGCCAACTCGCGGGAGGTGTGGAAGGACTACCAGGACTTTCTTCGGTCTGGCACTCCTCCTGTGCCGAAATGGTTGGGCCCCTCCGTCCCCCCATATCCTGGGTCCGAATCGGATCTGTGCGTTTTATATTTGTGTTCGGTGCTGGTGCTCAGTGTTGCGTCTACTGCAGAAATGATTCGCTGCTAGTACACCTCCCCCTGGAGACTGGGCCACTGCTCGAGCCTATACAACGGGTGCTCGCGCCTGCCCATCGCGCCTTGGAGCTGTTTCACGACAACTTTACCTCCGGGAACTACCGGAAATTTTCACTGCGGGTATGGGACAAGGCCTTGACGAAGGATCCCTTAACTCTTGCACAGCGTGCGTGCAATTTTGCCTACGAGCAGTGGAAAGACAAGGATAGGCCAGATGAGGATGATAAGGAGAAAGCGTAGGGAGCTCATACCCATTCTGTATTCATCCGCAGAGCCACATTATCTTTGTACCGACCACTCACATACTACTTTATCACTCCTTAGATCTCGTGAATGTACTTGATATCGTAATACAGCGGAATAGCTCGTCAAGTAGTAAAGCCCAAGGCGAAAGTGCGAGATGCTTGTGTGCCACTAGGATACTCTTGGGAACATGGTGTTCAGAGGCTGGACCATGCCATGTATAATTCTACTACTATTACTACAATGCGAGCTCAGGCAAGGCGAGCTTGCGAGCCGCCTGAGTGGAAGACAAGGTAGAGGAGATGAGTAAAGGACTTGCATGTAACTTACATCAGTAGTGCTGAAGATTAGATTAGATCTGATAGCGCACTGCCACCTGTCAAAGCTTTCCTTAGCTCGCCGACATCCTCGTGTAAAAAAGTCTCTTACCTCGTCTCCTCGCCCTCAAGTTCGACGATTTTGCCCCACCCTCCCATTCCCTGTTTCTGGAGCTTACGCTTGGGTTGCTTTGGGTCTCGTTCAGACCGTGGCTCTTGCGTACGGGTTCGGCCGTGCCCGCGTCCCGCTTCCTCCCGATTCGGTTTTTGCCGCCGCCTCTCCCCGCTGCGTCCCGAATCGGCTGGGACGGCCGCAGTATAAGGGCTTATTAAGGGTGAACATTTTAGTTAAGGCCTTAAACCCTTAATAACCTTAATTAAGGGCTCCGAATTAAGGCCTTGAGACAAATTTTTCCCACCGTTTCAGCGGGTGTAAAAAAATAAGGGAGTGCATGCAACACTGTTCCAGGTGTTCTTCAACCAAATACTCGTTAGTTATTCATCTCAATGCCTTCTCTTCGGCCGTTGTACGCTATCGAGTTGTTTCCAATGTGCTGCGTCCTCAGCGGGAATTGCCTGGCAAGATTCATTAGACAGTGGAAAGCCTTGATGCATGGTAGCTGTCAAAAAACTGGCAAAACTACGGGTTCTACTTGGGTTCTACTCCATTTTCTGCTGCTGGATCCGCAACACAGAGTCACAGACTCAAGTTTGGCGCCTTTGATGCCATCACTAAGCCTTAATTAAGGGTTAGCATCATCCTCGGCCAAGGTTAAGCCTTAACTTTAAGGCCTTAATAAGGCTTATGTGAACATAAGCCTTATCCGTTAAGGCGAACACTGGACGGCCGAACCCCCCGCACACACAAAAAAGCCGTCGTCTTCCTCTCTCTATCAGATTGTCCCTCAAACCATATCATTTATTCATCCCTTCGTCCTCTCATCACAAGTCCGTGTACTACCCTTGTCGGCAATGACAGGCATGAGCGCGTTTGTGGGTCATCAATGACACTTGGTAAGAGTCACGCACTGACAACGTGATCCGATTTGTCACCCTCGCGTCTTTTCTTGACGCTGACCGAGTATTTAATGATAATTCGCTACCTGTCCTTCACCATTATCTCGTCCCTCCAACATGAGCGCCCCAATCGAAGTTCAAAGTGTCAAACAATGGAATGAGACCCTGCGAGGGTCCACCGCTGCTGGAATGACCGTGCTAGTGGACTTTCATGCCCAATGGTGTGCACCGTGCAAGGTTCGCTCTACTATTCCCGGGATCTCGTGCAGGAAAACTTGGATTAATTGATTGTCCTCAGGCCATTACTCCGAGATTTGCTGCTCTCGCTTCTCAGAATCCCCATGTGCGATTCCTGCGCGTTGACACAGATCAGCAGAAGGCCATCGCATCAAAATAGTACACGTCCCCCCGCATGCTGTCGAAATTATACGAAGGCTGATCATATGCAGTCAGATTACCGCGATGCCCACCTTCTTGGCCATCAAGGCGAGTCTCTCATAGAACCTTTAGTATGTGGCCTACCTAACTCGTGCTTCCACTGCAGGCCGGCAAAGTCGTTGACATGGTTCGCTGGGTTCATGTTTATTCCAGGACATCATCTGACGGAAAATAGGTGAAAGGGGTAGACCCTCAAGGTCTGGCTCGACTCGTACTCCAGCACGGAGGCCCCAACCCTCCTGTCCCACCCCTTCCCGAGGAGGCGGAAGCAGCAAAAGTCGCAGGAAACGTATGTTGCGTCTCGGGATTGAATACCAATGCTCACTCTCTGTTCGCAGGCTTTCTACAAAGACGGACGCTACGCGGAGGCGATCGAGAAATACACCGCCGCGATATCGATTGCCCCCAACTCTGCAGCCCTGTACGGAAACCGTGCCATCGCATACCTCAAGTCGATGCCCCCAAACTCGGACCTCGCGCTCGCCGATGCCCAAAAGGCGACCGAAGTAGAGCCAAAATGGGGTAAGGGGTACTTTAGGTTGGGAGAGGCACTGGAGGCGCTCGACAAGGACGACGAGAGCGCAAAGGCGTTCGAGAAGGCGGTGGAGTTCTCGCAGGGCCTTGCGCAGACTGAGGCGAAGAAGAAGCTAGAGGAGGTGAAGAAGAAACTGGGTTGGCATTGATTTGGGTCTCTCGTCGTCATCCACTGTATCGTCTAGGACTCATTGTATTGCAGGACATCCTGACTGCTGAAATGTATCATATCTTACTATTTGTAGTCGATCCTTGGCTGCGTTGAATATGAGGCTAGTTCCCCCAAGGAATACACCACCTGTCTAGACTTGCGAGATGCCATTCCTCCGGTCCATGCACCGACAATCAATAAGCACGAGAATTGCAAGAACCAGACGTGGTCAAATCACTCCGACATTTTTTTTCGGCGCACTTGTAGCAGAAAGAAGCACATCTGATCCAATCCCACCGCACCGTGACGGACTCGAATGACTGGGCCACATGTTGGTCACAGCTTCTTTGAAGACCTCTCCCGAGCTCGGAGGAGTGCAATTTTGCTCGTTTATCAAAATATCAGAGAATTTGTACAATGCTTGACACTGCAGCGGGCTGATCATGAATCGACAATACGAAGCAGGTGTCGTCGCAAATATCCTAGCCCATGAGATTGTTGTTTCGCCTCGTCGGGCAGTGAGGTGGGGCGCAAGCAAGGTCCTTTGAAGGCACTACGCTTTTGTCCAAATAAGGCAATTCCTCATCTTCCCCAAAGTCACTTTGTGCAGCACCCGCCTTTTCAATCAGCTTCCTCCAAAGAGGATGAAAAAGACACCCTTAGGGTTGACGATAACATTTAAGCAAAAAGAAACTGACAACAGTGGGATTTGAACCCACGCCTTAGAAAGACTGGATTTGGATTTGAAGATTACCTAATTCCAGCGCCTTAGACCACTCGGCCATGTTGCCCCTGAGCAATCAAGCCATGAGACTGTGTAGACAGGGTAGTCTTTGAGGTATTCATCTCATCTATCGAGTCTATATGATATAATGAGCAAGGTGGGCCTGCATGTCGCTGCAGTGTAAAATGCATGGGGGGAGACACCAGCAAAACTTACTGATTTCAATGCAATGCAGATGTTGGTGGCATTGGTTGGCAGTGTAGTGTCTTCAGGTAAGATCTATGTTGACAATTTCTCAGAAGCCTCTGCATCAGTAAAACTGCACATTTGGCTTTGGCATCTTTTGTCTTGAGGGGCTGTCTTTTGTTATCTTTGTCCTGGGCACGACATCTTTTGTCTTTGGCACTGCATCTTATCAGGTCTTTGTCTTGGTTTCCATGTCCCAAATCTTTCAGGAGCGTCTTCCCAATCCACTGATATGTGAAGGATCCAAAGATGTCCAAGACATTGTTTTATTGAAAGACCTAGGATATTCCGAATGCTATACAAATAATGTATTCAAAATGCAATTTCATGTGAATGGTGGTCTGCGACTTATTAATGTAAAAAGCTTTGAAGCTATTGAGAGAAGAAGGGTATTTAATGTTATGGGGGAGGAATTCATCACCGAAGATCGGAATCAAATGTGCACTGCACAGAATAACATCAATGTGAATAATGTCCATGACATGGCGGCACTGGTGATCGAGATCTGGCTCAACCATCCACATCCCAATGTCAGGGCATGAATCATCCCCAATCATAGAGAACCATGTGACCAGCGCACAAGGATACTCCATGCCTCCATGCCTAAAAGACATGAAGAGCAGGATCCGCACAGCAAGCAGCCTGCGGAAGCCAGGCTGCTCCATGTCCTGCTTGACATAGACACAGCCATAGTGAGCAGGACCGCTGTGTTAAGAGTGCACTACTCAACTGCGCTCACAGAGAAGCCTGCCAATACCAGATTGGTCACCTGGGGCATAAAATGTAGCCAGGGCTGAGGGAAATGCCTTGATGCTGCCAGGAGGATCTGGGCAATCATCAAGCAGAACTTCTTCCAGGGGCAAATCCAATTTGGGGTGGTCCTGAGCATACAGAAATCATTATATGAGGCAGAAGAACAAATTATGCACCATTCAAGATTGGATGATATTCTATACGCCGCTGCGACCCTGGATTAGGATTTCTGTCACTGGCATCGCCTCCACCAGCCACTGAGGATGGACGACTTCTGGGAGGTGACATGGGAACATCGGGGTCAATGGTGTTGGGTGAGGGCTCGTGCAATTGCCAGTGAAATGGAGCATGCATAACTCTTTGGTGCTGTATGAGGCCAGACCAGTTCTTGACATAACGACACAGCCAGGACAGGACACGGTATATTGTGGGGCTTGAAGGCCGTCTTTGCCATGAGCATTGTCACAGTGAATTTTGGACAGTGAATTCTGCAGTGTCAATGATAAGGCAGCTTTCAGTGTGCATTGGCCGTCGGTAAAATGGACTTGTGGGTGGAAAAACATGTGCCACACTTATCTTGGCCGTATCAATCATCTGAAAAGAATTAGCAAGCCGACAAACCAGATGACTCACATGGCGACATAGCACCACCCTTGCACTCCATATTTTCCTCCAACCACCACCACCTCCCTCCCTCCGACTCCCTGTTGCATGCCCGCCATGGAGATGCCCGCCCCAAAGGCTCGCAAAAAGCATGGAAGCCCGATGCACCTGGCATCAAAACCCAGGCAAAAAATCAGACCACGCACCCTGCTGTTGACGCGGGCATTGCACCGA